TTGCTGCCAATTTGCACTTTAATTGTTGAAGCATTCGTTCTACCCGTACGTATAGCTGGGACAAAAAACGAACGCCCATCAATACAAATACCAATCGCAACATCTCTCTCTCTCTCTCTCTTTCTCTTTCTCTCTCTCTCTCTATATATATATATATATCTACGCCTATACGATCAACCTTCGGGTGAGAAGGAGGTTCGGGGGGGGGGGAAGAAACAACGTTTCACTCGATCTGTCTCAATATCGATCCCACTATTGGTCTCGCTAGATCGATCTCACTCGATCGATCTCACAATCGATATCACTCGATCTATTTCATTTGATCGATATCACAATCGATCTGACTATCGATCTCACAATCGATCTCACGATCGATCTCACTATCGATCGCACAATCGATCTCACATTCGGCCTCACAATCGATCTCACTATGGGTATCACAATCGATTTCACAATCAACGTCATCATCACCATCATCAACATCATCGTCATTAACGTCATCATCATCATCATCATCATCATCGTAACACCATCGCCATCACCTCATCACCATCATCATGCACATTATCATCATCACCACCATCATCATCATGGGGACACCATCATCGTCATCATCATATGATCAACACCCGAACACGACCATCATCATCACCACCGAAAGCAGCATCATCATCATCAGCAACATCATCATCATCATCATCGGGACACCATCATCATCGTCACCATCACCATCATTATCATCATCATAGGGACACCACCAGCATCAGCATCACATCATCATCATCATCATCAGCATCATAATCGTCATCATCGGGCCGCCATCATCAAAATGAACATCATCACCTCATCATCGTCCTCATCATCATCATCATCATCATCGGGACACCATCATCGCCATCCTCATCATCAAAACCATCGGGACACCATCATCACAACCATCAACATCATCAGCAACATCATCATCATCATCATCATCATCATCGGAACACCACCATGATCGTCGGGACACCATCATCATCTTCATCATCACCAACATCATCATCTCATCATCATCAACATCCTCATCACCAACATCATCATCATCATCGGGACACCATCATCATCAGCAATATCAACATCATCAACATAATCATCGGGATACATTCATCACCACCATGGCCATCATCATCACCATCAACATTGTCAACATCGTCAACATCATCATCATCATCATCATCATCATCATCATCATCATCATCATCGGGCCACCATCATCATTACCACCATCACCATCATCATCATCAACAACATCATCGACATCATCATCAACATAATCATCATCATCGGGACACCGACGGGACACCAGCGTGACACCGGCAGGACACCACGGGCCACCGGAAAGGAATCATTTGGTCTGGCCGCTCCCCAGCTGGAGGCGGGACACTGGCGGGACACCGCGGGCCACCGATTGCCGGAGGGGGGTTCATTGGTCCGGCCGCGCCTCAGCCACAGGAAACTTTCTTCTCGCCCGCCCACGCAGTTTCGCCTCGCCCGCACGCGCGGCACGCACGAAGACGAAACCGAAATCGATTTCCCGGTACAGGGGCTCTCCGTTGCACTTCGATCTCACCCCCTTACCTCCGATATACGGATTCAAACATATATATATATATATATATACATTGGAATATGTATATGTATATGCATATACATATGTATACCTATACGACCACCCTTTGGGTGATAAGGAGGTTCGGGGGAGGAGGAACCAACGTCTCATTCGATCGGTCTCACTATCTATCTCACGATCGATCTCACCATCGGTCTCGCTCGATCGATATCACTCGATCGATCTCGCAATCGAACTCACTCGATCTATTTCATTCGATCGATCTCATCATCGACCTGACTATCGATCTCACAATCGACCTCGCATTCGGTCTCACTATCGATCTCACTATCGGTATCACAATCGATCTCACGATCAACGGCATCATCATCATCATCATCAACAACATCGTCCTCGTCAACGTCATCAACATCATCATCGGGACACCATCATCAACATCACCTCATCACCATCATCGTCAACATCATCATCATCAACTCCATCATCATCGGGACACCATCATCATCATCATCATCATCATCGGAACACCACCATCATCAAACTTATCATCATCATCATTTTGAACAACATCATCAACATCGGGCCACCATCATCATCAGCAACATCATCATCATCATCGTCATCGGGACACCATCATCATCGTCACCATCATCATCATCACCATCATAATCATCGAAACGCCATCATCATCAACATCAACATCATCATCATCATCATCACAATCATCGGGCCGCCGTCATCAAAATCATCATCATCAACATCATCATCATCCTCATGATCAACATCATTACCATGACCGGGACCCCATCATCGTCATCCTCATCATCAAAGTTATCAGCATCATCGGGACACCATCATCATCAACAGCATCATCATCAACTTCGTCATCATCGTGACACCATCATCATCATCTTCATCATCAGCAGCATCATCTCATCATCATCACCATCATGATGATCATCAACATCATCATCAGCAGCATCATCGGGACAACATCATCATCTACATCATCATCAACCTCATCATCATCGGGGCACCATCATCACCACCACCATCACCATCATCATCATCATCATCAACAACCTCAACATCATCATCAACATCGGGACACCATCATCATCACCACCATCATCACCACCATCATCATCATCACCATCACCATCACCATCACCATCATCATCATCATCATCATCATCATCATCATCGAGACACCGACGGGACACCGGCGGGACACTGGCGGGACACCGCGGGCCACCGGCCCCAGGAAAGGAATCATTTGGTCCGGCCGCGCCTCAGCCGGACGAGACTTTCTTCTCGCCCGCCCACGCAGCTTCGCCTCGCCCGCACACACGGCACGCACGAACACGAAACCGAAACCGATTTCCCGGTAGGGGGGCTCTCCGTTCCACTTCGATCTCACCCCCTCACCTCCGATGTATATATATATGCATGTGTGTATGTATGTATGTATGTATGTATGTATGTATGTATGTATATATATGTACATATATATATATAAATAGAATCAATACCACACCACAAACAAACACAACAATCTTACGAACCACTATGCTGTCGGAATATAATTCGGGGGCAACTATGGGAACGCATGGAATTTTGCTGTCACGATACGACAGAAACTGCATAACAACGTCCGACGGGTTCTTCATATATTCGTAGTACCGTGTGCACTCTCAATCATCTGTTTGTCGCACGTGTGCGCATTGAACCTCCACGTCGCGTGGCAAAACCTTGAGAGTCAAGCATTCGTAATCCATTGGCTGCATAATAAAACTGCCTTCAAACGCGCATTTTTGCTTGCGGGTACTTCCTGTGAACAAGCAATGCAAAACGTTCCTCGGTCCAAAGCGGCTGGCTCACGAGGGACCTAGTAAAACACTCGCGCATCCTAAGCCAAACCCACAACGCCCCAACTGGCTTGCGCGAACTTCTCAAACTGGTTTCACGGGGCGACCGTTCCTCCCATAAAAACATGCGATGGTGCCGGGTGTTGAATCGCTCGCAATGGAATCGTGAGTGGACGATGGGAGCGCAACTATTGCCTTGCCATACTTCTTCCTGGCAATGCGTAATCCAGTACCGCTTGCTTGCACTCTGCCTGGTGGGCAGAAGCGCGGCCGTCGTTTGGGACTGGAACATCACGCTGGCCTCCGAATGATGGCAGTACTTCTATCAACATTACGTTTGCTCTGCGATATCCCAACCATTTCGTCTACCACAAACCACATATGGTACGCGCTGCCTTACTTTCGTTGTCGTTGAGCGCCAACCTTACATACAGAAAGTGACTACTTCATTGCGAACGGGCGATGCGACACAGCCATATGCCTTCTCAATGGCCGACGAAACTACCAATTCGCACAACGCAATCTTGCCGCCACTGAGAACGACCTCTGCAAGTCGATTATATGGCAAAATGATTACTGTGGCGTGTTCTTGATTAGTACTGGGACGGAGGGTCGATGCAATCAGAAAGACGCGCGATAAGGATGCAAGGGCTTGGGCGCCCATGTTGAAGCTTTTCGAGCGGGGCGCAGCCAACGACAGTGGCCAAGGCTGGACCGAGGAGGCAAGGATGCAAGGGTACCCTTGAGAAGGTTGCCCACCCTTACTATATGGGTTGACTGTAATCTGGAATCTGGACCCCCTGTCATGGGTACGGACAAACAATGAGCAATGCCCAACAGCAAATGTTCTCCAGAATCAACAACGGCCGCTGTCGGGCAGGCTGCATTCTGTCTCAAATGAACCACGTCCGCGGCGGCACCGACACCAGAGTCCTGTGAAAAGTGAACAAAATCTGCTGTTGGTCTTTGTATCCATTCTTTCCGTACCCATTTCGATCGTCCCGACATCTTTACACATCGATGTTTGCTTTGACTCCGGATTGGACCTCCTACTTTCGACACTCCGGCTCCGCCGCTCCTCTCTCGCGGAGCTGCGGTGCGTGCGGACGGTGCCAAGCAGGGAGGAAGAAACGAACCAATGGCAAGAAGGCAGCGAGAGATGCGTGTCAGGGAACAACTCCTTGGCAGCCTTCGTAAGAACCAGTAGGGGCGATTCAGCCTGATCAAAGGGCCAATCAACTGGACTAGCACGGGCTATACCCATGAAACGTGTTAAGCGGGATTTGGCCGGTTTTCCGTCACAGATATACCAGCGCTGATGCTGAAATGCATTTCCTAAGAGCTGCATCTTAATGCAGTGGTGCAGGCTGCGTGACTAGAGGGTGATCATCGACCGCGCCGAGAAGCACCAAGCGAACTCGGCGATGAAGTGCTGGCCCTAAGGGATGGCACGCTGCATGCTGTGGCTCTTCTCCTGCTCCCGCTCCTCTCAGGCCCTCCTCCTTCTCCTGACTGGGAGCCCTGTTGATCGCCAGCGAGCACACTCACCTGAGCCAGTTGAACACTTACAAAGACATTGACAACGTCTACTTGATCGGCTGAATCCGCCGCGCCCTGCCACAGCAACCTCTGGGTCGGAAGACTACGCTGCACTGCCGCAGTGTGCACGCCGCAGGCGGACGGGGAAAACATAGCAGCCCCGCTGCTCGACGCAGGGCCTGGACCTGGGCGCCCGCCGGCCCTCGTGGGGGGCAACCACAGCGCATGGGATTGCTCCTCTCCCGCCTCCGCCCCTCCCCTGTCTCAGCAAAAAAACAATACGAATACCCTCCTCCCCTCTCCCTCCCCCTCCTCCCCTCTCCCTCCTCCCCTCTCCCTCCCCCTCCTCCCTCCTCCCCTCTCCCTCCCCCTCCTCCCTCCTCCCCTGAAGCTGTATGCTGCAGGGGGGGCCTTGTTTTCGGATCGGCGCGTTGCTCCCGTCGTTCAGAATGGTGCTCTCGCCGTGGCGCGGGCCACCCTTCTGGATCCGAGCCTTGCCTCACTGTGGCTCACCCATCATTTCCCATCATCCGCCGTCCCCTGGTCCACCTGTTCCTCCCGCTCCCTCCCCTCCAATTCCCGCTGCTGCTATTCGTCTCGCCCTAACGCGGGCCACTCTTATGAACACGAATCTTCTTTCTTCATCGTTGTCGCCCCCCTCGTTTCCACTCCTCCGCCTTCCCCGGGTCCTGCTTTCCCTCCCGATCATCCCGATCCAACTCCTGCTGCTGCTGTTCCTCCTCATCCTTTTCTTCCCGCCCATCTGCCTGCTCACCCGCCACCTCCTCCTCCTGTGCACGCAGCGCTTCTTTTTCCGATGGCGCATAACACTACGTGGTCTTTCTGTGTGAGTCGCATGTCGGCCATGACACGCGTCCGCGGGTAGAAAAACATCAGCGCCATGGGAAGGGATGGGAGGGAGGAGTAGGATGTCAAATGATGGGCGAGCGCACCTAGCTTGCCCTTTCCTCCTCTCCTCTCCCCTCCCCCTCCCCCTCCCGCTTCCCCCCTCCACCTACCTGCAGGCAAGGTAATGGCGAAGCAGGCCCCCTGAGTGGCGTGAGCAGGCTCCGAATTTGCAAAGGAATGGTACGACTGCTGTGGTAATACTTGTGTGGATGAGTCTGCTAATCGAGCAACATTATCACATGATCGTCCTTCCTAAGGAGAATCCCACCAGCCCTCTGGGCGTAGGTGGTCTAGTGAGGCTCCTCTTCCAACCCCCTTTTTCCCCTTCGGGGAAGGGTTTATCTTTATTCCTTATTAATATATACCCCATTCCCCACCCGGCCGGCGGCCAACCCGGAACCATGCCGACCCCATACGCCCCCCCCCCTCCGCCAGCCCTGTCAAAACACAGTGCAAAACGCACTCTGCCTCCACATTTGGAGCATGCGCGGCCAAACCGATGTGCCCCCCCCCCACACCATCCCTGTCAAAAGCGATATAAAACACAATTAGGGGCGAAGTCTTGAGTCATGTTCGTGAGGCCCGCGAGCACTTCGTATTGTTTTTGACAGGGACGGCGGGTGTGTCAGCATATTCCCTGCTGTGCGCAGGTCTACCATCCATCACCAAAAAATACACCATGCACCTCGCGGCTAAATCCCGATCCTGCGCGGCCACCCCGCGATTACTGTCAAGTAGTTTTTGACAGGGACGGCGGGGTTGGTGGCGCGTGGCCTGCTGTGCGCAGGCCCATCAAACATAATGATGGGCATTGGTATTCGACAGGGATGGTGGGGGCCGACATGTTCCCGATGTGTGCCGTCACGTGCGCAGGCGCACCTGACGGACTCTGCACGTGCCCCGAACTTGGCGCACCTGGCGCATCTGGCGCACCAGGCGTGCCTGGCACGCTCGGGCCCCAGGGGTGCCTGGCGCGTGTGGCGCCCCTGGCACGCGTGGGCCTCGTCGCCCAAGCGTCTCGCACCTGGGGTCGGCTTTGGTTCCCAGTAGCTGTCCATCCAAAGGCGACCGCTGAACATGCTCAGGCTCGGGTGTTCCTTATGTGTTGGGAGGGCGGGTGGGAGTGAGCTGGACGGCCTGCGGGCGGGTGGGTAGCTTGACCTCTCCCCCTGCCCCCTCCTCTGGACCTGGACGGGGGGGGGGGCGCGAGGCGTTGGAGCGTCCAAGATGGCCCAAATCGGCTCCAAGTCCAGGAGGGCCCCTGGGAGTCCAAGGTGGGCTCGAAGATGGCTCGAGATAGCGCACGATGCCCCCAGATGGCTCCGAACATGCTCCAACAAGAAACCCCAGTAACGTTCCAAGACGGCTCCAACGGCGTCCGAGACCTCCAAGGAGGCCCCCCCGAACCCCAATCCTTCCAAGACCTAAGGAACAATGGGTGTTCTTTACAATGACTTTTTCGGGCCCTGGTCCTCTCACCTTCCCCCTCCCCCGCCTTCCTATTGGTCGGTGGGGGGGAGGGGCGGGGGCGGTGCCAAGTGAGGTGGGGCCGTCCTCACATAACGAGCTATGTCTGTGTTCTCCGCGCAAGTTCTCTGGCTCGAGCATGCCCGCAGAGGGTCGCGCGGGCGAGCCCGAGGCTTTCTTCCGCACCTCACCGCGCGGCGGTGCCTCTGGCCATTCGAGCTGCTCGACGTGCTCCTCGCGGGAGCTGATCGAGGTTGGCCCGCGCTGCGAGGGCAGCTCTCTCGACCCAGCGGGCTGTGCGCTGGCGGCGAGCTGCGAGACGGCGCGGCTCGGTTGCGGCTCGTTCGGCCTGCTGATCTGGTCGCTCTTCGCTCTGGTGAGCGACCTGGTTGTGGAGCAGGAGGGTGAGGACGAGCTCGACGTGGTCGAGATTCAGAGGCCAGTTGAGCTATGGTCTCGCAAGTTCTATCGTCAGACGGCGACGGATGGCGTGGAGGTGCAGCTGGTTCGGAAAAAGAGCGGGAACATCTGGGTGGTTCTCACGCCGGACTTGGGGCTCGGGCTGATCTGCATCACCGCGAAGACGTCCATCTTCGGGGACCCAGTGGCGGGCATCCGGTGGAGGCCCATGCCGCCGCTGAGTGCAAGCCAGCGCGATGCCTACCTGCAGCAGGCGACAGAGGGAAGGCGTGCGGGGACGGTCCCTACGCTCCCGCTCTACCGCCCTGGTCGAGCTGGTCAGCAGGCGATCGCCGTGAACGTGCTGTATGCGATGCGCAGTTCAGGTGCGTCCTCTCTCAAAACTTCGAGGTGGTCTTTGAGGAGTCCGAGACGCTTCCTGAGTGTGTTGGCCGCCTTGTTCGTGCTGTACGAAGCTCTGGCCCTGATGGGTGTCATCGAGTACATGAAGGAGGTGTGGGTGGCTCTTCTGAGCTACCTCATCGCGGCGAAGGATGCTTTCGTGGAGAGCTCGGACGTCGTGCAGGAGTGGGTGAGCTACGGCATGGAGTGGAAGGAGTGGGCCCAGAACCTGATGCCTCTGCAGCGTTGGCTGGCCGTGTTCGTCGCGCTGGGGCTCCTCACCGCCTGGGCTGCTCACGAGAGGTCAGATCGAGTGGAGCCCGGAGAGTCCTCGATCGGCTCGTCTTCAGCGTCGAGCGTCGATATGGCCGTTGGTCATACTACGTCGCAGCCGCCGCCCTGGCCATCATCCTCGCCGCCGTCGGTGGTGGAGTCCGCCTTGGTGGCGCAGCTGAGCGACCTTGCGGAGTCGCAGAAGGCCATGATGGAGGAGACCAGCGAGATGCGGACGGCGGAGCGTACTCGGGAGTTGCGTCGCGATGTGCTGGAGTCGTCCCTCGAGACTCGAGGTCGTGCTTCGGAGGAGGCTAATCGCCAGGTGATCGAGAGCATGATGGCCCGTCTGGACAAGTTCGAGGCTCGACTGAAAGGGGGGGCCCCAGCCGAGGTGAGCGTCGGAGATCGGGTCGCTGCCGTCGAGGGTTCGGGTGCTGCGTCGCCGGCGGGTGCGACTGTGGGTCCACCGACAAAGACGTCCGATCCGATCTTGATGGAGACGCCGGGGAAGAGGTCGGCGCCCAGTACCCCAGAGGAGTTGGCCATCAAGCGGATGAGGTTCAAGGCTCAGCTCCCCCAGCAAGTGTTCATGGAGCACTTGGAAGAGTACCAAGAGATCCCTCCCGAAGAGTGGAACAGTCGGATGCCGGAGGGTTATCGTCAACGGATTTCGGCGGAGGTGCTGTCGAAGATCTACTCGTCCGGGAAGACGGCGGAGGCGTGGGCTCGGGACTTCATCCGAGATCGTGGCCTGATGGAGTGCAACACGGCGCGAGAGGTGATCGCGGCCTTCGCTGCGGTGGACACGATGCTGATGACGGATCGGCAGAAGGGCTTGCTGAATCTGGTGAGTTTCGAGCAGCTGGTGCGAAAAGGTTACGTCATCGTGCGTGCCTACCGCAACGTGCAGAGTCGCGACGACTGGAGCCGCCCGAAGGATGCCAAGGGCTGGAAGTCGAAAGTGGACTGGGAGGCGGCTCGACGACTGGATCCACAGCTGGCGGACGAGAGCACGATTCGGGTGATGAGTGCCGAGGAGGAGATGAAGAAGGCCATGGTCAGGGACGCGCAATTGCTGAAGGCGCGGACCGACCTGGGCGGAGGCTCGGCGGCCCCGCCGTGATGTCAAGGAGCTTCAATTGGGGCCGGTCAATTTCGTGTTGTTTGGCCCCTGCAGCTGATGTGGTGGTCTACCTCTCCGCCGGCATCTTTTGTTGCCCTTGCCTTTTCTGCTGCAGCTGATGGGGGATATTCTCTGCGGTTGCCACGTGAGCAGGCTCATGACGAATTGGGTCTTCTATGTCTCGACGGTGCGACGTCCTGTCCGAGGCGGTACTGCTCTCGCACCCAGAGCCTCCGAGTTCTACGTCTCGTCGTGTCTTGGGGCGATGGAAGGAGGAGGTGGGGATCCTTGGGCGGGCCAATCGCTTTCTCCGGGCCCCTCGTCGACTCTACCGCGGGAGCCTGGGGGGCAGTCTTCCGGAGCTGGCCGAGTGCTGGGGACGGGAGGCCATGCTCAACGACCTGGACAGGGACTTCTCTCGGCGTGTGCTCGGGGAGGTTGGTCGCCGCCAGCCGCCGCCGACGACGCCCGGTCAAGGAGCCGCGATCTCGCGGCCGCGGCCTGCCGCCTCGGCGGTGGGCAGTCAGTCCCAGTCGACATTCAGGCTGAGGTCTGCCGAACTTCGGATGAGGAGTGCGGGCGGGAGTGTGCGGCTGCCGGACAGTGGCGAGACGGTCCCCGCCCAG